AATTTCTCAGTTGGATGTATTACCGGTAAGCTTGGTGGACCTTTCAAGTGAAACTGAAAAAGAGCCTATTTTAAAAACAAGATTTCTGTAGCTTCAAAATTGGGAAAAACAGAAAAGATTCCTTTAAGATTGATTTTTCAGAACTTTCTTTGCAAAATGGATTGCATTTTCAAAGGTTACCAAGTACCTATTTATACCGAAAATATTGCGTATTTTGGTTCTGTGATAATGAAATCCTTAGCTCGTGCTCGTAGTTATTGCTTGATGGTAACCAGATGTCAGTCAAACAATATTGATGATGTAAGAAATTACAGTGGTTGAAATAAAAACAAAAACAATCAAGAAGTATTGTTAGTTAATCCATGGAAATCGGCAAAACAACCATTTGAGCGAGTAGTTACATATTGATTTTCAGGACCATTATTTATTAGACATTATTTGGTATTGGTAGATACATTTTCTAGTTGGCCTGAAATCCATCCTGACTACTGAATCTACAATAATTTTTTGTAAAAAAAAAATTTCTTTGGAATAGGTACCTAAAACTTTAGTAAGCGATAGTGGCAAAGCTTTTACATCATTTTAATTGTTTTTTAAAGAAAAATGGAATTCTCCATATATTAATTGCTCCTTACCATCCTTCTACAGACCGATTGGCACAAAGATGTGTACCGTTTACCGGAGCTACTTGATAGCATTTTTGGAATTCAAATAATCGCACACATCAGAGTAGAGCGTTTGCAGCCAAATAATTTTTTTTCTAGATTACTTTGGACCCGTTTGGCTATCGATTGCCATAAAAATGATCTCTCCATCCCCCACCCCTTTTCGGTAAAAAAAATTTAAAGGGTGTTTTTCAAGTCGCCCCGCGATGGGGTTACTTGAAAATCTCTGTTTTCTAGCGTTAAAAATGCAAATAGGAGTCTAATTGAGGCCTCATGAAAAAGAGAATAAAAAATAGATATTATGAAAACCAAAAAAAAAATTACATTTTTACATCAGGAAGACGTTTATTATTCAAAAATACATATAACTTAATCTACGGAATTTTGTACAAATCACTGGTTTCCTTCAAGCTTGTGCCCCTCCTACACTTTCCAATGCCCTCGCGCAAGTTTTCATCCGAATAATTTCTGTATTTTCTACTCCCAACCAATCGTACATAGTTTTGCACCATTTGTCAAGTAGCCCCTGGAATGACAAAAAAATATAAATAAGGCCGCCATTTGTAAACTATGATGACCATCGTTGATCTATTGCCATACCCTTTTAGCCTAATAAGTAGGTATACTAAAATTAATTTGACGCCATCTAGAAATATTCCACTTACCTGCACCAACTAGAAGTATTCAGCCTCAAAAATAACTTGTCTTGAAATTCTGTCACAGCGACTACTCGGCAACATGAACAACCGAGGGTGATCTGAATAGCACCACGAGGACTCTCATAACATGGTGCAACCGTTTTGGGATTTACGGGGTTCCATCTTTAACACCAAGGTGGTAGGACAATATATTAATTTATGATGCAAGGATTTTCAAGTTGCCTCGTAACTTTCAAGTAGCCCCGCTTTACGGTACAAACTTTTAAAAAATCAAATAATTAAATCCAGTGGCGACGCCAGGGGGGGCCGGCCCCCCCCCCTGAAATTTAGCTGGCCCCCTCTGAAAACTTGCCCTCATGTCGACAACAATGCAATGCAACATGAGTAACTTCTGCTCTCTGTCAAAGTAATTTGATATTTGGTGGGTACCAGGCAACCGCGACTATGCTTTCGCTTTTCTGGGATCCCCCAAACATATTTGTGTCGGCAGCTACAGGGTTTTCCTGTGTATTTTTGGCACCTCACCTGAAGGCCGGTTTCTCAATAGCAAGCAAGTCACCCCCGGGTCAGAGCAGTTAACCATAACTCCAGGGTAAACATTGAAATTGGACACGTTTACCCTGGACTAGCTATTGAGAAACCGACCCTGAACGGTTAATTGAATAGGTATCAAGAAGATTTACCTATACAGGGTGTCCGTTTTTCGAGAGCAATCATTGGAATATAGGAAACGGTAAGAGATACAGGTTCGGTTAAATTGGGACAAAGTTGTGCAATTTCTTGCTTAACAAAACGCTACTTCGAAATTTGGAAAATTCCGAATACTTCCGGAGATACACGAAAATCAAAATTTTGTAAAATCATTTCTATTTTTTCCTGGACTCATTTGTAAAGGTATTCCAAATAAACTTCACTTTATTGGGGCAACTTTCTCCCCTTTACATAATGGTGTAACCAAATTTGAAATCCGACGTTTCGTCTTTTGCCGATCATCATCAACTTTATTTTTTTAAATAGAGGTTTGCATTTTTATGAATTGTATTCGGAGTTTCTTCATCTCACAAAAGCAGTAACACATTTGGCCATTGATTGCGATTTTGTATCTCTTACCGTTTCCTATATACCAATCGTTGTCCTCGAAAAACGGACACCCTGTATACAAAATCCAAATAAAAATCTTTTTCTACTGACGTTTCATAATAGCAACTTTTCGATTGTCATTTCAGTTTTGAAACGACATTCTTTTAGGCACTGAGTGCGTGAAAGTTACTTTTAGGCACTCAGTGCGTAAAAGTGACTTTTGAATGCGTAAAAGTGACTTATGAGTGCGTAAAAGTAATTTTTAAGCACTAGTGCTTAAAAGTGTCATTCATTATTCAGAAATAAAAAACACACTAAACACATATTTGAATTTTGTTTTGTATTTATTATGAATATTGAAAATGGAATTACTGAATTGAACGTTTGGGTTACTCAAAACAGAACTTTGTGTAATTACCTACTTTCTAGGATTTTAATTATTGATGTCGAATTTTCAAAAGAAAATCGCATGAAAAGTGTCAGGTGGCAAGTAAAAGCAGGTAACAAAGATTTTGGGTGTAATCGACTTATTCACATGAAATAAAATTGTATTTTTTTATTATAAAATGCCAGTAGAAAAAATCTTGTATACAATACGTTACGAAACGATGTCTTTTAGTCACTCGACGTGTTGTCCAACTCGGCTTTGCCTCGTTGGACAATTTTCACGTCGCGTGCCTAAAAGACGCTCATTTCGTAACTTATTGTATAAATAGCTATTTTGATACCTATTCAATTAACCTGTTCAGGTGGAGTGCAAAAATATACGGGAAAACTTTGCAATTCCCATTTTTTATTTCAAAGAAGAAAAGCAATAAAGTAAGAACAAGTGCCCCTCCTAATTTTTTCTGGCCCAGCCTGGCCCCCCCTAACGTAAAACCCTGGCGTCGCCACTGATTAAATCCATGGTTGATAATAATAATCAACAGAAAGATCGTGAAACTTTCAATTTTTTGTCACAATACAGAAAAACTTCTCATTCACAAACAGGTTTAAGTCTTTCATATTTGATTTTTGGCGGAGAAATTAGAAGTAGATTAGATTAGTTGAAACCTGAGAACTTGGGAAAATTTGGAAATTTACTACCTTCAAAGGTTAAAGATTTGAAAGAGGGGGAAAGAGTTGCTGCTATTAGAATTGAATAATTGCAGTCATGTTAATCAGATGGGAAAAATTGGTAAAAATACATCAGAAGTCTATTTAGGGAGGGGATTTAAAGCAAAAATCGGACCACGGTAAGGTTGAGCAAAAGAGTTTTAAGCCTTCCTAGTCTGCAGCTCCATAATTCCACACCCTACGAGGTATTGCAGCAGAAGCTAAGAGTGTAAGAAAGAAATTTCGAGCGGAAATTAATTTGTGCTCTGATTTGCCCAAAGGTGCGCAAACATAGATCTTGTAAGTTGTAAGAATCTGGATTAGTGGTAAGGAACAAATCGAGTAAGTTGGCATGTTGGGAATACGTGTGGGCTTTTCTACCTAACGGGGTTGAATCTACCAAGAGTATAATCTCGGAGTTTGGATTGGTCTCCTGAATAAAACCAAATGAATTTGCCAGATTTTCAAATAGAAGCTCATAACTGGAGTCATTGGGTGAAAGATAAACGCAGCAAGCAAACTTAACTATGCTCGTAGAAGTTATTTCTAGATAAATTACATCGTGATCAGGTGCTTCGAGATCATTCTCTTTGTGCTAAAAGAGCTTACTGCCAGAAAACACGCGAAGTACCCCTTCAAAGCGAAATCGCGTATGATGTTCATAGTTCATACCCGAGAGATCGGAGATATGGATTGGATTGGATGACTTGCGTCTCCGTTAAGACTAGCATGTGTGGTTTTTTGTTCTCGAGATGTTGGTGCACTGCGTTTAAGTTGGTGTTAATAACTATGATGTTCGAGAGCTCAGTAATTAAACCTAATGGTTACTCTGGAGATTCGAATGGGAGGGTATTTTAACTCCGGAATGCTTTGCACGAAGGATGCCCATCATCGTTTGTAAACCAAGTCAGTGAGGATAAAAAATGAAAAAGAAGGATAAGAATAAAGGAGAGAAAGGGAGAGAGTGTTTAAAATTGAAAGTCATGCTTCAGGCTCAGACAATTGGGATCGAATTTACAGGACCAGAATGGAAGCGAGGGGTGGTACTGCCTCGGTCGAAGAGAAGCTCTTCACTCACTGCAAGTGATGAAAGATGGTCATGACCGGATAGGAAAGGCAGGGAAAGAAGAGGAAGCACTCCCAAAATTAGGTGAAGGAGAAAATATTACAACTCTTGTAACTCAAGGTCACTCGGCTCGGTTACATTGGATGTGAATCCTGGAATAAATGGAATGTATGCTAGTAGTTTGATGATTCTGTATGAAAAAAAAAATGGTACAAAACAAATATTGGTATTTCAGTCCCGGACTCAGTACTGTTAAAGTTTTCTGAAGAAATTGTCTGATCATGGTTTGGAGAGTAGGTACCTACCTACCTACCTAATGTTTAAACATGTTTCAACAATTATTCAAGCAGTAGTGTCAAAAAATCAAAATTTCCTCATCATATGTAAATAATCTAAGAAAATTTCTATCTATATCTTCAAGTGAAAAAAAAATTGTAAGGCAGTAAAAAATAAGGTCATTTATTATTCATTTCATACACATTAATGATTTAGGTACCTACCACTAAATGTTAAAAAGTTTTACAAAGTGTTAATGGCTTAAACTAAACAAATTGAAACTAAATAAATAGGTACTAATAGAATAAAATGTCTTATAATTGGAAATTGTGTGTGTGATTCGAAATAGTGTTTCAGCAAGAAATTATCGAAAAACCAAATTGTTATACTCATTATTCAAAATAAGTGAGTAAACAACACACGTTTATATTCAGTCAGACAGAGGAAAACGAATTTCTCAGAGTGAAAGTTTCGCCAATTATACCGGCTTCCAATTTAGTTATGTAATAAAGTAAAAATTCTCTTTTTGATCAATGATGACTAAATTAGAGTGATTATAAAAATAATGATTTCACATATGAAAAGGTTCAAGTTCATACAATTATTATAGGAAAATTTATTTTATTCTAATAAGTTATGACGTATTTCTTGCTCTCTTCTCCAAAATTTTTGCTTTTCCTCAAATTGCTTTCTGGTTATTTCATGTAAGTCATTATAAGAAGGCAAATCACCTCCATATTCTTTCGGCCAACATTTTTTTGGGACTAAGGAAAATAATGTTTCTTGGCTGGTGCTAGGAGGATGAACCTTCACCTACAAAAAGTTAAATGCGATGACTTAATTTGAAAAAAATTAAAAATACCCTTACCATTTCCACAAGTTCGTTTTTCATGAATGCCCTGGCGATATTCATGAATTTATCGAAAAAGTATACAGCGTTTATAAAATGTATGACTTTAAGTTGCAATGGAAATCCTTCTTGAAGGAATTGGAAGTATTTTCTAATTGCGCTTACTTTTATTCTGGTTAGATGCATCAGGCTGACCTAAAATGATGTATTTTATTGAAATAAAAAATAGCTATTTATGTAACAAGGGAGATTATGTAGATTATAATGCCCGAAGGCTTCATGATAAAAATGATTTAATTTCTTTTACGGTTTTTGGGATTGGAAATTTCTTTATTGCTTCGATTTTCTTTGGGTTTGGTTTAATACCATTTGAGGTTATGACATCTAAAAATTCTACTGAATTTGTCTAATTGAATTTTGAGATTGAATTGTTCTAATCTCTCAAATATCTTTTCAAGATTTGCAATATGTTGTTGAAGAGAAATGGAAAATATAATGATATCATCTATGTACACTAGACATATTTTGTTTTGTAAACATATTAGTACGTTGTCTATAACTCTTTAAAATGTGGCTGGGGCAATTTTTAATCCAAAGGGCATACGATTAAATTCATAATGTCCATTTTCTACATTAAAAGCTGTTGTACTTATTGAGTTTGGATGCATTTCAACTTGGTGGAATCCAGAAGCTAAGTCTGGAGTAGTAAAATAATTACTTCTTCCAAGTCTGTCAAGAATATGTCTGTTATATTTGGTAATTGGTATCGATCGTCTATTTTTTTTTAAATTGATTTTTCTATACTCTACGACCATTCGCCATTTCTTTATGCCTGAAGCATCTAACTTTTTAGGTACAATCCAGACAGGGTATGACCACGGACAACATGATGGTCAAATAATGTTATCTTTTAACATTTTCTGGATTTGTTTATTCACTTCTTGTTTATGAATATGTGGATATCTATACGTCTTTAGCTTTGTTTTGGTTTCAAAAAAGGACGCTTCTAGAATGGTTCAAAATAATCGCACAGTTTATTAATCAAGAAAATGACAACAGCTCGGTTGTCAAAAATTCCAATAATAAACTGTACGATTCTTCTGGACCGTCTTAGAACCGTCCTTTTTGAAACCAAAACAAAGCTTTGGTGTGAACTGGGATTTCGTCTTTTGTCTTAATTTCGTGTTTAACTTGATTTGTGAATGATAGTTTATCATTTGGTTTGTGAAAGACTTTAGGAAACGAATTTACAAAATTTTGTAAAGCTTTTACTTCTTCTGCGTTTAAATGATCAGTTCTTAAAAGGTTTAAGGATGTTTTTTATAAGGTTTCTCTTTATAATCATTAGTGTTTTGAGTAATTATCTGTTCTGCATTGGACAATTGGTAATTCTCTTCTTAAAATGGTTCACATATTTCTTGAATATCATCAATATGACAATATAATATGAGGATTTTGTCTTTTAAATTATAAACATGGGGTATTTTATGAAGCATGTTATATTCATTCGACAATAGCCACAGTCATTAATGGAATGGTGCCTTTAGAAGTAGGTACACAACTTAATGAATAAGCCTAATATTGTCACGTATAACATAAACAACTTAGCGGAAATAAGTTTACGTTATGCTGATGAATGAACAGTTTGAGATATTTAATATAGATCAAATGATTTCATTAGAAAATGATGAATATGCAAATGACCTTATAAAGTCGCTACGTATTAATCATTTAAACTCAGAGGAATTTGATGCTTTAAAACACGTAATTAAATCTTTTCCTAAAATTTTCCATAAGCCAAATGAAAAATTGACATTTACCAATCAAGTCAAACATGAGATTAAAACAACACACGAAATACCAGTTCACACGAAAACGTATAGATATCCTCATGTGCATAAACAAGAAGTAAATTCTCAAATAAAAAAAATGTTAGAAGATAACATAATAAGACCATCCTGTAGTCCCTGGTCATTCCCTGTGTGGATAGTACCTAAGAAAGAAGATGCCGCAGGCATACAAAAATGGAGAATGGTCGTTGATTATCGAAAGATAAACAAAAAAACTATTGATGATAGATATCCATTACCTAATATCACGGATATATTAGACCGACTTGGTCGTAGTAATTATTTTAGATTTAGCCTCTGGCTTTCATCAAGTCGAGATGCATGAAAATTCAATACCCAAAACAGCATTTTATGTTGAAAATGGTCACTACAAATTTAATAGAATGCCCTTTGGATTAAAAAACGCCCCCGCAACATTCCAAATAGTGATGGATAATGTATTACTTATTGGATAACAGAATAGAATATGTCTAGTATACATGGATGATATAATAATTTTTTTCACTTCACTTCATGAACACGTGAAGAAGAAAGTATTTGAGAGACTCGAGAAGTTTAATTTAAAAATACAATTAGACAAATCAGAATTCCTACGCAAGACAGTCGAATTCTTAGGACACGTAAATACACCGAATGAAATAAAACCTAATCCATAAAAGATAATGGCAATAAAAAAATTCCCAATACCAAAGACGGTGAAAGAAATAAAATCATTTTTAGGATTAGTAGGTTATTACCGAAAATTCTCAGAGAATTTTGCCAAATTGACAAAACCAATGACATCTTGTCCGATTATGAAATCAAATAAAAAAAAGGAACTTTAAACATGAATGCAGACGCACTATCAAGAATTTCTGCAATACAACTTCATGCCATTCAAAAATGAGATCCAGATGCCAGATTAACATCTTCAGATAAAGAATTTCACAAAAAATTAGGAGTAATGCTGAAAAATACACCATTATGTAATGATGAAATCATAGCAAAATACTTTACAGACTAAAGTATATCTTCCTAAACAAAGCGAGAAAGCTAAAGAAAAAGGGATAACAATGTCTGAATCATCTCAATCAACAAAGACAGCATCAGAAAAAGAACCTGAAGAGGAACCTGAGAAAAAAAAACCCAAAATAAAGATATTATCCCAACTAATAATACCTCCAAGAAAGGAAAAGAAAGAAATTCCCATAGAAATAGGAGAATCCTCAAAAATTCAAAAAAATAAAAGACAAACAACACCAACTGTTCGTTCGTCAACAATTTCAGCCTTGTCTGAAAATGACCAAACAATACTGTCACTATTGAAAATCCAATATTAGGAGCTCTATATACCAAGAAACATGTAAATATATTTGGAAATCAAATTGTATTTCGATTTTCCAATAATAACACAATTAGGAAAGATAATCAAACTATTTGGTTATAAAAAGAGAATAATATTCTTCTTACCAAATAATCCAACAATATCACAAATTACTAACTTAGTGAAGGAATACATGCCACCTGGTATTTATTGCCTTTATTTCCTAAAATAAATCTTTAGAACCTATTGTGATACGAGCATTACAAGACTCGTTTAATTCGAACTCATTTACTTTGTACATCTCGAACTCTTTATTAGAAGACATCACAAAAGTTGATCTTCAACAAGAGAAAATTCAGCAATATCATAAGACCAAAACCTCTCATAGAGGAATCATTGAAAATGTTGCAGCCTTAAAGAAAAGATTCTATCGGCCCAATATCGAGAAAGACTTACAGAATTATTTTAAAGTATGCGAGATATGCAATAATGACAACCATACAAAATCATATTCAAACCAACAGCCATTGGTACGAAACCTTTTGAACATATTTATATTGACCCGTATATAATCAATAACCAGAAATTTCTGACCATTATTGATAGCTTTTCATAATTTGGTCAAGCCTCTTCCGTAAATACAAAAACAGCTGTTGAGATATCATCACAGTTATTGAAATATTTTAGTGATCATAGAATACCTCAAAAAATCACATCAGATAATGGAGCAGAGTTCAAAAATGCTATAATGAAAAATCTTTGTACATTATACAAAATTGAGTTTCATTATACAACTCCAAGAAACCCGAACTCGAATAGTCAAATCCGAAGATTCCATTCGACACTACGTTAAAGTATAATGAGTTTAAAACTCCAAAACCCGAATAAGAGTATTATTGATCTAATGAATATCGCTATATTGAATTATAACAACAGTAGATACTCATAGTACAATGAATCACACCCCTTTTCAAGTGATTAATTATGCCATACCAATTGAACAAACAGAAAATAAACTAACAACTGACTATATAACAAGTTTGGCAGAATCCCTTGCAAATTTGAATAAAGAAATTCAAGAAAAATTATTAGCGAAACAAAGTTTTTAGAATCACGCAATAAAAATCGTGAACCCGCACCAGAGTTACAAGATCCAATCTTGGTAAAACAATTTAATAGAGACAAGATAAGTCCGCGTTATGATAGCAAAACACAGAATCGCTTTGCTAAACAAAATGTTGAACGACAATAATTTATTTCAGGTACTCCGAGATTAATCTTTTAGTATTCCTTAGTCTCGTTGGAATCACCCAAGCGTATATACATTGATGGCGGTAGAAAATCCTATCTTACCAATTTCTTTAGGAACTACGTAAAGTTCGTTTCACCAAGGTTCATACTTGACCTTGAAACTTGAAAAAAAAAGCGTTGTCGTAGATTAATTCATATGGCACATTCAATTTTTTTGACAAATAAAAATGAATGACTTCTAGTTTAAGAATCGACGAACATTTTTGACGTCATTGATTTGTTTCAGTCAATTATTATTTGTTAAACAAGGAAGGTGAATGCTAGTGGCAAGTACAAACCCTGGTGAAACAAACTTTACGTAACAACTCAACATAACACGGCCTATTATCACATAAACACGACAATTATTATACAAAGTATCCATAAACTGGAAATTACCTCAATGAAATTATCTGACACTCTAAATAAAACAACATGGGCCGGTATTCTCGTTCCCGAAAGAGCTCACCGCTATTTAGTCGCACAGCACTTTTAATGTAAATTTACATTAGAAGTGCCGAGCGGCTGAAAAGCGGTGAGCGTTTTCAAGGACCAGAATACCGGTCATGGTCAAACCAATTTGCTGCACTGTTTCAAACAAATATTGAAAACAGTCATTCTCAAATTAAGATTATGAAATAAGTCATAAAAACCTATCAAGAGCGCAAACGAAACAAAAGAGGTCTATTAAATTTCATGGGCACAGCACAAAAATGGCTCTACGGAACCCTAGATGCTGAAGACGGCGCAAG